CCCATAAAAGAGCATTCTTTCTAACCCTAGACAATTGGAGAGTGTCGGGTCTCAAACCCCAAAAACCCCCCAGCCGGCGAATGCTGGCTGGGGAATTCTGGGAGTTGAAGTCCGGACATCTTCAAGTTGCCAAGGTTGAGAAACACTGCTCTAGCATGTGCCATAATAAAAAGACAATTTTGAAAGCATAATGAGTAACATTTTCACTGTATACCTTTCAGAGTGACAACATCTTTCATTGGTGGCCTTCCATTGTCATTAATTCTCACAAGTACATCATAGACATTTTGTTCAAGTTTCAAGTTCTTTGGGGTAATGCTACCATGTTTGCCTGGCAAAACAAATAGGATGATGATATTGTGATTATTATAATGCTCATAATAACTAGCAAAAATTAAATAATTTAATTTAAAGAATTAAAAGAATTAAAAGGTCTTCATTTTCTGGTCACATCCAAACAAATATCAAATCTTCACTGGCTCACTGAGTACAATATGGCTGAATTCAGCACTCATTTAGTTATTTTTATATATAAAGATTTGTAGCCTATTGGAAGTCTATTAATCTTCCAATGCATATTTTTTACCCACATAAGTTTACAACGTTTAGATTTAGTACAATTGTTAAGTGTTTAAGAGAAAAGATAGAAAAAGAAATACAATATCAAAACATTGACAAAAACAATGACAAAAATATTTAGTAATATTTAATAAATATTATCAAACTAGTGGAAGCAGGACATTGTAACTTCTAAAATTGATGTTGCCTATGGAGAGAATACCTTCTAAAAAAAACCTCAAAGGCTGTTACCAGTAGATGCAATACCAATAGAGAGGATGTTAACCAGGCTTCCAAAGGTAATTTCAGAGTTTAATTGCAGCTAATGAAAAGAACTCATCTTTTCTCTTGTCTCAATTAAACATACATCTGCCAGGTTGAGACAAGAGAAGGGAGTAGCTGTCAAGTCTTAGGAAACAGGCAGAAAAGCGTTAAACCTTTGGGCTGGGCAAGTCAGAAATTAAGAAAATGCCATTTATCTATCTATCATCTATCTATCTATCTATCTATCTATCTATCTATCTATCTATCTATCTATCTATCTCTCTATCTCTCTATCTCTCTATCTCTCTATCATCTCTCTATCATCTATCTCTCTATCATCTCTCTATCTATTCTCTATCATCTCTCTATCTATCATCTATCTCTCTATCATCTCTCTATCTATTTATCTATTACCGACACCTTGAATTGCACATGGAAGCAAAGCAGCAGCCAGTGCAGCTCACAGAGCAGGGGTGTTACATGGGCTGACTTTGATCCCCCAAGAACTGCTTGCACTGCCACATTCTGCACCAGGTGTAGGTTCCAAATGCTCTTCGTGGATAGTCCCATGTTACAATCATCCAAACGTGAGATGACTGGGGCCCAAATATCTAAGCCTCAGTCTACAATCTTTCTTGCCACACTAGTTAAGTGAATCACTGCTGGCTTTCCCATTGACTTTGCTTGCCAGAAGGTCGCAAAAGGGAATCGCATCGTCCCAGGATACTGCAATGTCAGTTGCCAAGTATCCAAATTTTGATCACATGAACATGAGGAAACTGCAATGGTTGATGCTGTAACTTTGAACAGTCACTAAATGAGCTGTTGTAAGTCTAGGACAGTGGTGGGTTACGACCGGTACGTCCTGGTATGGGTGTACCGGTGCTTGCCGGGAACACCAGGTACCGTTCCGGTACAGTGCTCTGGAGGACTCACCAGCCTGCGCTCCTTACGCTTATTTGAGGTTTATACGGAACATATGGCGCCTGACCAATGCTCCACCGAGCAGCTGGAGTGTCGCGGGCGGTAAGTACACATACACATGCTGTGCGTATGTGCATGCGTGCTGCACGCATTCATGTGGTGGATGCCAGCCCCATTGCACCATACCAGTTGCAATGGTATCCGGAACCAACCACTGGTCTAGGACTACCTGTGTAACAGATGTAGGTGTCACGTTGGGCAGTTCGGATCTTATCAGAAATGGCCCAATTTAAGTGGGCAAAAGATGTTTTGGCTTTAGCAGTAATCTCAGTTTTCAGACACGAAGCACAAATTCCTAACCTGATTCCTTAAGAGGACTATCCTAAGACAGTAAGAGATGCACTCACATACGTAAAAACCATAAGAAATAAATGTGCTCATTCAACTAGAAGAAAGTAAAAAGTAATTCAAATGTATCCTAAAACAAAGGAGATAAGAAATTCTAAATGAAGATTGTCTCCAGCTTAAAAGGACCATGGTGGCACAGTGGATAGAATGCAGTATTGCAGGCTAATTCTGCTGGCTGCCAGGGGTTTGATCCTCACCGGTTCAATGTTGACTCAGCCTTCCATTCTTTCGAGGTCGATAAAATGAGGACCCAGATTATTGGGGGCAATATGCTGACTCAGTAAACCCCTTAGAGAGGGTTGTAAAGGACTGTGAAGCAGTGTATAAGTCTAAGTGCTATTAGTGTTATCACAAACATACTTACTATCCACTTTAGAAATGATCCAGTTGTCCTCATACTTTCCAGCGAGGGAATATGTGAAGTTTGGAATGTCTGAATCTAAATCAGCAACTTCAAATTTTGCACTCTTGTCTCCTTGGAGTGGGTGGCACAAGGACACAATCTCGTTTACTAAATACGGAGGATTGTCATTGACATCTGTGAGATGCAGTATCAGTTGTGCAACACTGCTTTTAAGTACACCACCTGTATATTTGAATAGAGCAAGAGAATATTTTAAAACTTGTTTTGAGAAAATTATCGCTGGTTGGTAATAGAATAAAATAGAATAGAATAGCAGAGTTGGAAGGGACCTTGGAGGTGTTCTAGTCCAACCCCTTGCCTAGATAGGAAGCCCTATACCACTTCAGACAAATAGCTATCCAACATCTTCTTAAAAACTTCCAATGTTGGGGCATTCACAACTTCTGGAGACAAGTTGTTCCACTGATTAATTGTTCTAACTGTCAGGAAATTTCTCCTAGTTCTAATTTGCTTCTCTCCTTA